CAGAGTCGCCCCGTCATTGGTTCGTGCAAGTTGCCGCAGCACAGCCAATGACCGAGCTGCCTCGCTCATTGCTGTATGCTGTGCAGCTGCAATGCGTTTTACATAAAGACTTCAATATTTCTCGAGAAAAGGAGTTTTCCCATAGCGTAACGCTATTACGCAATAGGAGGAACCTCTCGAAAGGGAACAGCTGGCGCTAATCAGCTCATCAGCCGCGCTGATCAGGCGCGCTCACTCACACAACACGCACACACATAGCGAGGGCGAATCAGGGACTCTTTTCCAGTTCCTCACGCGGTCAGATTCTCTTTTCCTAGTCTCTTCCGACCGTGTTTTCTTTGCTTTTTCCATCTTCGAGTATCACGTCTGAAATGCACGCAAGTGTCTTCGTGCTTCATATATTGTTGTTGATGTGTGTGACGTCGTTGCCATAAAGCATGTCGTTATTCTCGCGAGATTTGTCGGGGGCGCTCATCTCAAACTTGCATTGCTGGTTTTTACAGCGGCGTCCCCCCCAAGCTTTACTACCAGGATGATTCGCCCTACTGTGAGTTTATTTACCACCGAAATGACTTTGAAGCTGTTATATTACGGTAGAATTCTTGCATAGTGTGCCTTTAAAAAAAAAAAAAAAAAATATATATATATATATATATATAATTTTTATAATACAAATTTATGGTAAAAAAAAATATAGTACTTATTTTAGTAAAACATGAACAGAGAAAACATATTCAAATCTTAAATAAGATACTAAGAAAATAACTAAATAAAGAGCCAAATAGAATGAACACGGGTTTATGTACATAAATTAAGAAAGGCACAGTATTAAAATTAAATGCATTTAAATTGTTTTTTTAGAGCATACATTTTTTTTATCATTGTCATTGAGGGATGAAATTAGAGGATTAAATTCAGTAAGAAATAGTGGAAGACACAATGGTGATTTAAACCATTTTTGTTTATGCAGATCATTCAGTGTCGTTGCACCCAAAATGTGTAACTCTCTCCCTCGATCACTCTGTTCTGTTAATACTATTTCTGAATTTAAATCCATGCTCAAAACTCACTTATTTTCTGAATGTTATAATTCTTAAGTTGTACTGCTTTTTTTTTTTTATGTATTCTGCTGGGTGCCGCCCCATCTATAATTTCTCACTTTCAGTACTTACACTCTCATTGTTTTGTCTGCTGTCTTTGTCTACAGCCTTTATTGTTACTTGTTTATTGTAAAGCGTCCTTAGCTCTGGAAAGGCGCTATATAAATAAATAATAATTATTATTATTATTATTATTATGAATGAAACATTTAGCTTGCAAAAAATAGTTGGCAAGTGGCAACATATTAAAGAGATAAATGATCAGGGTTGTCATAATAGAAAATCATATCTCTGAGAACAAAAGAGTGGTTTACTTCTGTAGGATCGAAAATACTAAACTTAAATCAGCCCAAAACTGATTGGTTATATTAGCCTACAAAAAAAAAACGGGTATCTGCTTCTTCTAAAAGACCACAAAAAGAGAATGTCTCATTATTAATGTCATAATATTTTTACAAAAATTGTGGAATTAACAGGATAGATTTTATGAAGGATTTTAAAGTGGACTTCCTTAACCTTATTAGATATACAGTACAAAACTTACCCGGCACAAGCCAGGTCTTTTCCCAATCCTACAGGTGACTTCCCGGGATCCGTACTAAAAAACGCCAGTAGAATTTACACCTTCGTTTCTTTGAGGAAATATTGGGTCTGTTTAAGACAACATGACGTCACCACCTGCGCAACTCAAAAATCACTTACTGCATCGATGCCATTGCTGAAATATCCCGAACGAACGAAGGGAAAACCAAAATATGTTTAGGATGAACACCAAGGCCAAGAGAGAGTTCATCATAAGAGCGGGAAGAGTAACTTCTGAAGGACATAATTTTACCCACAACATGACGGAAATAAGTTGTAGCCTATAAGAAGCTCGAAGAATTTGTGAAATGAGCCAAAGTTGCATCTGATGTGTTGGGGTAAGCACGGGCAAAAGTTGTGTAAGCACGGGCAACTTGAGCCGTCATGAGATGTCCGAGGTATCCAAATTTATGTAGCCTACAACATCATGTCATAACATGATGATGTACATAAATTTGGATATAGAGATTTTTTGTCGTATGTGTATCAAACGATAGAGATGGGTTTCTCAGAGACATCTACCTGCATGACGGCTCAAGTTGCCCGTGCTTACACAACTTTTAACTCAGGAATAGTAGACAAAAATATTTTGTGAATATTTAGTTTTTCAAAAGTCAAAAATCAGATGATCAAGACAATCTTACCACCACCTTATGACCCACATAGCAACATTGTGACGTCCCAGATCCGGCCCACATCTGGCATTTGTGGAAAGATGATCTGGCCCACACGCAGCGTAATGACGGCCCTCGGGCGGACTGCTCCTGTTTGCCAGATCTGGGCCACAAGCAGGCCATAGAAATGCCACATGTCAGCCAAGAGCAAAGAAATAAACCAGAACTGGACCTTATCTGAGCCACAAAATCTGTGTATATTAAATATGGAGTCATTTCAGCCTTAATACGCCTGTTAACAAGCAGAATCACTGAAGGAAAGAAGAGAACAGAAAAAGAGACGAGCGGAAACAAGAACTACAACTGACTAAAAGAAGACATTAAATCTGTGAAGATCTCAGCAGAGGAGGATTAAACAACTCCACAAACAGCATTACCACAGCTTCACTTATTACTAACCAGACTGACTTTATTTCTGTCAGACGTCTACAAAAGTTTTTATTGAGAATTAACAGGGGTTTATCTCTGTGTTTCATTAGAAGTCACCATAACAGTGATCAGTGTTTCCATTAGTTGGGCTTTTAACTCTTATTATATCTTTTGTCTGTTTTGGCTGCTGTGACAGTGTGCTTATCAAACACATTTTCAGCAGCAAAGAAAGCTAAAGTGAAACGAAATCAGGTGATGATGGTTACCTGTTGATGGTTTTATAATCATCATGAATTCGACTGATTCACTGATGTGTTTAGAATCTAACAATTGTGTTTTACCATTAAAGGGTTAGTTCACCCCAAAATGAAAATTCTGTCCGTAATTACTCACCCTCATGTTGTTCCAACCCCGTAAGACTTTCGTTCATCTTCTCACTATTGGCCGACGCTGGTCTTGTGTGTGAAGATTTTAACAAATATGAGCACAAAAAGTAAATCTACGATGACACACACAGATATCAACAATCAGCACATGAATCTCCACAAGTCAAGGTTCCTTTCACTCCCTTCAGGGACCAGATGGTGAACCTGCAAGCGCTGCTCTTGGAGGAGGCAGACACAGCCCTGGCTTTGCTCTGTCCCGTCCGCGCTCTGTGACGGTACATAGACAGAACTCAAAGCTTCAGGACCTCAGACCAGCTCTTTGTCTGTTACGGAGGCCAGCAGAAGTGAAAGGCTGTCTCCAAGCAGAGGATGGCCCACTGGATAGTGGATGCCATCGCCTTGGCTTACGAAGCACAAGCTCCTTCAACAAGAAGTGTTGCATCCTCCTGGGTGCTGGCACGTGGCACCTCGCTAACAGATATTTGTAGTGCTGCAGGCTTAGCGACACCCAAAACATTTGCTAGGTTCTATAGCCTCCGTGTAAAGCCGGTTCCCTCCTGTGTTCTCATCTCAAACGTGTAGAAGCAGGCCCATCTATGGTCGGCTACGTGGCAGAGCATATGGCGCCAGGCCTATATCCCGCTGAATCCTTATGAACTGGGTCTAGGCTGGGTGCCTTATGTGCCCATATGTAGCTTTTTTCCATGGTTGCTCCTAAACGGAAGCCCCTGTCTTTCCCTTAGGAGAACCCCTCTCTTAGGAGATTGGTGTCACCTCAGTAATTCCAAATATTATCTCAACATGAATCCTTCGGGGAAGGATGTGGCTTCCACAGCGTTCCTTTTCCGAAGGCAGCTGTGGCGCCTTGGCAGGGGATTCCTTTTCATGGGTCACTGAAGTGACGTCAAGAGTGACCGACTGAAAGGGAATGTCTCGGCTACGTATGTAACCCTCGTTCCCTAAATATAAGAGAATCACCCCTTAGTATCCTGAGCTTAGAGAAACCTCTGTCAGAGCCATAGCTGTGTGAGCAGCACATCGACAGGGTAAAGGTACTTTCCTGCTCATGTTCGCTCCTCATCTCTCCTCCATTAAAGGTGAAAAACCCCATGGCATAAAATAAGAATAAAAAAAGAGCAACCTCTGCAAGACAATAAAGAGATCTTCCATGACACCTTTTTCTCAGAACTTTCTCATGTCTCAGTTGTGTCTACTTTTGTGTCTAAGGAATTTTAGGAGAAACATCTGAGACACTGTTAATACTAAAATGAGAGATTCTATGAGAGACAGACAGACAGACATTAGAGAAGGTAGTTGTGCCCGAGGGTTGTAGGTCTACAGTATGTACACATTTGCATTTGCTTGGCATAAAAAACAACAACATCTGAGCAATAAAATGTTCCTATAATGGAGTCTAGAAAGAGATTAAAGATATGTTTTATGTTTCTTCTACCACATTCTCAGTTTTGACTCTTTTTCTTTCAAATATTTCTCATGTCTCTCTATTTTTATTTGTCCTAAGGAAATTTAGGAGAAACATCTGCAATGCTGTTGATACTAAAATAAGAGATAAGAATCACAACTAAGTCTCCTGAGCTTAGGAAAAGCAACCACCGAGCGATACATGTTTCCTCTGAGTATGCCAAATATGCCATTGAACGCTCCTAAAAACTGGGGTCACTGATGCCTTTTCCACCCCTTCTTTCTCTCACTGAGCCACGAGTAAGAGCAGAAATGTTGAATGAAGTGGGTAGCCTCAGTGGCCTCTGTCTCTCACTCTTTCGCTTTATTTGTGCCACGTGACCATCTGTGAGGCCATTGGGTTCATATGGAGTGCTGCATTGAGCACAGGCTTGGTCACCCGCCCACTTTTTTTACCCTCTCTTTTTCTCCCACAGCGTGGCTGCTTTGGGAGGGGCCGTTCTCAGAGACACGCTGCAGTGGCAGCACCAGACACACATGAGACTTCCCTGGTGCGTGTGGGGTTGTGTGAGACAGACAGACAGACAGACAGACATTAGAGAAGGTAGTTGTGCCCGAGGGTTGTAGGTCTATGTGCACCTTTGCATTTGCTTGGCATCATTGTGAGTAAATGGTTCTTCAGTGTGTTTTTACCATATGCTTGTGTTCTCTCATAGATTATGTGATTGCATGTCATCAAACTTTTTTTTGCTTCTCACATGTGTTGTCATCCCAGGGTTAGTGATGGTATGTTTTGTGTATGCGTGTGTGTTTTGTGTCAGAGGAGTACCTGCGTCTCGGAGTAGCTGATCTCTGAGGCAGGGGGAGGGGAAGTTCACATAGGGTTGTTGTTTCAGACGGCTCTGAGGCAGGAGAACGCTGTTCTTTCGCACTGCATTCCAGGCAGCCGGAGGCAGCATAGCTGTGGGTGCATCAAGGGCAGCAGGCTTTAACAGACAGACCTCAGAAACTACAGTCAAAGCTACTCCCCAGTTGACTCGGCTCATTCTAATACTATACTGTGACTAACTATTGTCTTTTAAAGAGTTAATTTGCAAAACTCGAAAGTCGAAGAATGTGTGTACCCTGGGTCTGATGTAGGAACGTTGTGTGTGCAACTATGCATACAGTTGTGTATGTGATTGACTCTGACTCTTTCTGGACCATGTTTACACACTCTTTTACTGGTGTGAATGTATTAATGACAGAAACAGATTGATTTTAAACACATTTTGATTAAATATGCCATACTCATGAATGGAGTTAAACACTAAAATTACATAAAATCATTATATTCAAAAGTTTAAATATTATATGAATTTAGGCTAAAAGTAGCAATATTAGTAGTGGATGCACTGCTACAACAGTAATGAATCTATGGGTCATGAGAATTCCGCTTTGAATTGTGATCAGAATAAACAAAAAATTGTGTGCAAAGTGAAAAATATCAATTATGCACACTTGACTGATGGCTTAATAAAAAAGACGGTAGACAGACACACTGGCTCTCATTCAGAGGTCTAAAAGTCCATTGTTCAGTTTGTGCTTCCACATGCAAGTGTGCTGTTGGTTTCATCTGGACCTGATTGCAATGACCATTAAACGCTGTAGTATCCCATGTCCGAATGGAAATGATGCATATGTAAATTATACATAATGTGTAATTGCATAATAAATAATAAGAGAATGCCAAAAGTGTGCAGAGCTGTAAAGTAGGCAAAGGCCTGGTGTAAACACTGTGGAGATTCATTCCTGTCAGCTGTTTGTTTGTTTGTTTGTTTGTCTTTGCAGTGTGGTTTTATTTCCTTTTTTAAACAGACACAATATAAATATATTCAGTAAGAGACGCATTTATGAAAAGTGTTATCACACTTTGAGCTGAAACCGAGGGATAAAGCTACATTAATATTAGCTTATGTGGCTTTGACTAATTCAGAAATAACTAGTCTTTTTTTTTATTTAATTGGATCAATAACTATTATGTCCCTATAGCTTTTGAAAAAAAAAAAAAAAGTTTCTTCTGTTTCCTACAGACCACCTGTCCTGCTGAATGTCTAGACTGAAGACACCCGCCACTTCCCACCTTCTACCCCTGGTCCGAGTCAAAGGGACACGAGGGTTTTCTCTCCAGCCACAATGAGTGATGTTGCCATTGTGAAGGAAGGATGGCTACATAAGCGAGGTAAAGATTCTGTGAAGCTTTCCTCCAGTTTCAGGGATGATTCTTGTGAGAAACAAAAAAATAATTTCAATTATTACCGTCAAGTCAAGTCACATTTATTAGTGTGGCGCTTTATACAATACAGATTATTTCAAAGCAGATTTAAAGGATTGGTTAACTTTCTGTCATTTACTCACCCTCAAGTCATTCCAAACCTGTATGAATTTCTTTCTTTTGCTGGACACAAAAGAAGATATTTTAAAGAATTTTAGTAACCAAACAGTTTATCTGGCCCATTGACTTAGTATTTTTTTTCTTATTCTATGGAAGTCATTAGCCACTTTTCCACTGTCGGGCCAGTGCGAGCCAGGGCTAACAGCGTGCCGGGTGGGGCCAGGAGTCTCGGACCTCAAGCACCAAGCCCAAAATCAAGTTGCGTTTCCACTGTCGACCCAGTAGCGATGTCACGCAACCACGTCATAGAACGACGTCACACAACCCACAGTTTCACCAGCTGACTGAAAACTAGCTAGATCGCAAAATGAGCGTGACAGAAGTGAACGTTTGGTCTTTACTTAAAGACTTAAGATTCCAGCATCAATATTTGATCAACGTTTTACAATAAAAAAGGTTCCAATGATAGTAATTTATTCATTTGTGTCAGGAGTGCACATCAGTCATGCTGAATCAAACATTTTACCATTTCAAATAAAAGTAGAGCACATTCCTATTCAGTTGCACCTGCTTCCATTTATTTGCGATCTCCATTAAGGCTTTTAAGTCCAATGGCTTACATATTTAGAAAAATGTTGACAAAATATAATATGTTTACGACACATTTCTTTAGAAAGAATGAGCATTTCTATTAATTTTCCACAAAACAGCATGATCTGAGGAGGTTTGAGCGATCTCTCTCGTCTCATACTGTTATCCTTTCAGCCAGAGCAATAGAGGGAGCTCACAAGAAAAAGCAGGAGTTATGAGTTATACGAGTTAACCGGAGTGCATGCAATTTATGACATATGCTGATGCATATTTTCCGGTATCAACAAAGGCACAGGGAAGAAACGATAAAACATTAAACAAAACAAATACACGATTATACATATATGATATACGTTCTTCAAGCAGTCTCTGGTATCTTCCACAAACATATGTATTTATTATCGCAATGGTTAGCATAAGTAGCATTTAGCTATCAGAATCCCCATCAGATCGCAAGGAAGTGACAGTGGAAACACACTCTAGTACGTTTGCTTTTGGCCCGACAGTGGAAACCATATTCTTCAAAATATATTCTTTTGTGTTCAGCAGAAGAAAGAAATTGATGACAGAATGTTCATTTTTGATGAACAATACCTTTAATGTTTTACAGTTCTTAAATTATGAAACAATTTCAATTTGAGCTGTAAAGCAGTACAAAAGACAAAAGTGCCATTATTTAGCACAATGTTCATTTAATTTATTTCAATATCAATGTTGCAAAGTTCATCAATGATGAAACAAGCTCAACTCAACTGTGAAGCAGCTCTACAGTGTCATTATTCAGTACAAGTCTGTTCAATAGTTTCAATTCAGTTCAATAAAACAGTGTCAATGTTGCAAAGTTCATTAATTTTGAAACAAATTCGATTCAGCTTTACAGAAGACAATTGTGTCTTTATCCAGCTCAATTAAGTTCAAGTGTTGTTCCTATTCAAAACTGTCAGTGCGGTCAAATCAGGTTATCCAGAGGTGGTTATCGACTGTCAAACTGTTATTTTCTGTATTTGTACTGTTCATTTTATATGAATTACAGTCTAAATTTCTACTTTAAAATTTCAACAAAGATATGCACTTCTGTTATTGTTTCTGTAATTGGTACTTTTGTAGTAATTACTTTGTAGAATTTGTCAAAATGCAGCAACTTGATCAGACATCAGACAGCAACTAATACAACATGCAAAAATATTATGCTATTGTTTTGGTGTTCGAACTGTGTAAATATCAAGTGAAACACGAATTTACAAATGACTAAAAAGCAAACATAAAGATGGGACTTTGTCTCATCATCTTAGAAGTCCGCCGCACACACCACTCGGTGCCTGTTAACACTCGCGGTGTGTGTGTGTCAAAACTCAGTGCTGCTCAAAACTGCTTCCACTTTGGGGTGTCTGTAGGCTGGAGCGGGCATATTAAACTGATGTTTTATTCAGCACATGGCTAATATAATGATTTTTTATGCACATTATTTCAGTTGGAAAGATGCAAGCTTTGTTTTGGAATGTCCAAAGTAACAATAGTGTCACATTACGTAAACCCAGCCACCTACTCACCTGTAATGAAAGCGCCCTAAACTGCAGTATTTAACATATATGTAATATATGGAACAACTGTAGAGCATCCAGTATGTAAACAATAGGATTTATGCACTAAATCCAGCAGAAACTTCTGCACAATCTGCATATTTTTAAACACTCAAGACAGACGTCACTACTTGAACTTTACAGCTGTTTGCACAGGATTTCTCAACTTTTGGATGCTCTCGAATACTCTCAACGCTTTCTACAATCCGTGGTCAGTCCTACAATTCACTGTGCAAGCATGAGGTTCGACTCCCATAGGAATCAATGGAACGGACACTTTGCTCCTGTGTGCAAGTGTAAACACACTGTCAGTGAAAATGTAAAAGGCTGCGTGTGCCTATAGCCATTACAAAAGGTGCCATTCTGCTTCATTTTAGCAGTGTTTATATTTTCCTACTTTTCTCATTTATTCAGTATTTTCAACATTAGCCAACATGATCATATCACATTTTTCTCAAGTAAATTTTCCAACGGTACGTGTCAGTGAGAGGATATTACTGTTTTGCACTTTTCAAAGGATGGAAATTTTGAGCGCATGTCTGTCCTTGCAAACCACAGAGCATCAGAGTCATTGGGCCAAAGAGGCAGACATAACAGTGTGCAGGGAAAAAAGCCTGAGGGTGTGGCAAGCAAGCAGAACACAGAAAAAAGGGCTGAATATCAAGCCCTGAGGCACTCCGAGTGTTTGCTAGCCTCAGTTTGCCAGGGCCCGTGAGGCACGGACTGCCGGACAGTGTAGGGCTGTGTGCTTCTGTAGGCAAGGTCATCCCAGTTCAGCTATGCAGACAGACACCACCCGTATGGCACTCTAGGCCCAGATGAAAGCAGCGCTGCCTTTGCCTGGATTTATGCTGCTTAGTGTGGCGGCATGCTTGTTTTGCCCACAAGGGATTTGGGGAGTTATTTTTTCTCCTATGTGTAGGACACTGTGTTGAATATAATCTGTTGATGTTTCACAGATTTTTTTCTCTCAAATTATTATTATTTTTGACATATGGGATTTGTTTGTTTTCAAATAAAGAGTAATTTATAATCCCCTTTACTAACTAACTTCTAACTAACTAACTAACTAACTTCCTCTGCTCGTCCGTCTATAAACTTACTTGATGTCCTTAAGCAGAAGGAAGTCATTGAGTGCAAACTGTGGCCCTGCTTAATCTGGAACAGAACAATTTTCACACAAACTTGTTGACTATGAATACACGTATAGATGCTTAGATCAAATGTTGCTAGTGAATATTGATCTTTCTCAGAGGAGAACTTCTTGACTTTTACCTGTTGAAAGAATGTATTGCTGATACATAAATCACATCGAATATCTTTATATTGGATTTTATTGTCGATTTTGAATCGCAAGGTTTTGCTTTGCTCACAGGGTTTTGACCCTAGGGTCTAAATATTCCACTGTGTGTTATATCCATAGCCTGTTTCTTTTAATGTTTGGATATATCAAATTACAGTTTATTATATTTATATATATCAGTTTATTATATATATATATTTATTTTTTATTAACCAATCAAAATTGAAACTGAGAACTTTGCTGAGAACTGAACAGCCAGTGATTACAGTGCATTTTTGTTATTTGTTTAGTGCAGATACTATAGTGATCTCAAATATCTGTTTCAGAGGTGAATGTTGTTTAATGTATATGAAGAGATTAGATTTGTGCAATCTTACATAGAGACTGGACAATTATTTACAATGTATTCCAGCAAAGCATTTATTGTGTTGTGTTGTGATACTGAAAATCATTTAGGTCCAGTGTCTCTCAGAAAAAAAAGGAAAAAATACCTGGTAACATAAATGAATAATGATTTACAGGGGGCAAGTATTTCCTCTAAATAAAAAGGTTATTTTCTGTCACACACAGTTAAAAAACTGACACACTCCCTGGATGATCATGTGATATGATCTTACTGTGCATGTGTTTGTGTGTGTATATCAGTGCAGAAATGAGTCAGCAATAGCAGTGGCTCATTTTTAAACTGCTTGTGTGGCCATGCTATCTTTCGTGTCGTTTCCTGTTTTCAAGAATCCGACACTTAGTTACCAGAAGTCCCACTAGTGTGGTGACATTAAAATAAAAAAAGACAAAAGAAATTAAAATACAACCATGACAATCACTTCTTACTGTTGTTTTTGTTTTTTGAGTAATCTTGTGCAGGTTTGTGTAGGTGACGACTGCTCTCGACTGATTAATAATGTGAACTCTTGCTTTTGACAGAGACTGTCTTGCTCTTATTTGATCTTGGTTTTTTTTGTTCTCTAGTTGAGTTTGAGTGAACCTTATCTTGAGTGAGTTATTCAGAGCTAAACAGCAGTTTCCTGTTTGTTTCGATGGCTCTAGATTAGCTGATCAAATAAAGAAAAATCTCATCTTTCTCTTTTATAAGGGTTCAGGGATGCCCCTTCACGTTACCTGAAAGTACCCGGACTTCCCCAACAAGAAGAAATGGGCTAGCCGTAGGTGTGGACTTGCAATCTATGTGGTTTAAAGGAGAATAGCTAGTGACAGTTGTACTGTAATTTGTGTAGTTTACAAGAATTTGTATGTCGGTCATAGATAATGCCTGCCTGAGTGTCTGCATAAGAATAGAAACAGTACCACTTGACTTATTTGCTAATTGCAAACATCTACTGTACATATAACATTTATCACCATCCTTTTTTTTTTATTAAGCTGACATGTTTTGTTTAATACCCTCTAAAATTGGTAACAGAATAAGAGTTATTGGCCTTGACAAAATTTTACAGGTGCAATGGGCTCTTGACCATTAACTTATTAACTTTAGATTTTGTTTGGTTGCTGTACATGAGTTATAACAGCCGGATGAACAGTAAACAAAGGTCATCTGATGATGTTGGTTGTGTTTTAACATAATCATTATTTCACAATCATTTGACCTGAGTCACTGAACTTATATTAAACCGAATTTCTGAGTTAAGTTAACCTTTCGAATAATAGCAGCATTGTCATTGTAGAGCATACTATTTTTAGACTTTTCAATGAAATTCAAATGATCAAATCAATAAATAAAAAAGAAACTTCCTAAAAAATATTTTGAGTAGGCACACACAGACATCAAGAATCAGCCTGTGAATCTCAACAATGGTGACAATTATAAAGCATGTTGCAGTGCATTCTAGGTGCCACCAATCAAAACTCATTCATGGCGCCCATCATGCATTGCTGCATGAATAAATAATGAGCTTATGATCTGTTTGTCACCATTGCTGAGATTCATATGCTGATTCTTGATGTCTGTATGTGCCTACTCAACGTTTTTTTTAAGAAGTTTATTTTTTATTTCTTGATTTGATCATTTGAATTTCATTGAAAAGCCTAAAAATAGTATGCTCTACAATGACTGTAAGGTAAACTTAACTCAGAAATTGGGTTCAATATAAGTTCAGTGATTGAGGTCAAATGATTGTGAAATAACGATTATGTTAAATCACAACCAACACCATCAGATCTCCTTAGTTCATTGTTCATCTGGCTGTTATAACTCATGTACAGCAACCAAACAAAATCTTAAGTTAATGGTCAAGATTACAACTAAAACAAATACTTATCTCCATCCCTTCACCATCTCCTGTCGCTATCCCTTCACCATCTCCTGTCACCATCCCTTCACCATCTCCTGTCTCCATCCCTTCACCATCTCCTGTCTCCATCCCTTCACCATCTCCTGTCGCTATCCCTTCACCATCTCCCGTCACCATCCCTTCACCATCTCCCGTCACCATCCCTTCACTATCTCCCGTCACCATGCCTTCACCATCTCCCGTCTCCATCCCTTCACCCTCTCCGTCACCATCCCTTCACCATCTCCTGTCTCCCTTCACCATCTCCTGTCTCCCTTCACCATCTCCTGTCACCATCCCTTTACCATCTCCTGTCTCCATCCCTTCACCATCTCCTGTCACCATCCCTTCACCATCTCCTGTCTTCATCCCTTCACCATCTCTTGTCACCATCCCTTCACCATCTCCTGTCACCACCCTTCACCATCTCCTGTCATCATCCCTTAACCATCTCCTGTCACCATCCCTTCACCATCTCCTGTCGCTGTCCCTTCACCATCTCCTGTCTTCATCCCTTCACCATCTCTTGTCACCATCCCTTCACCATCTCCTGTCACCACCCTTCACCATCTCCTGTCACCATCCCTTCACCATCTCTTGTCACCATCCCTTCACCATCTCCTGTCACCACCCTTCACCATCTCCTGTCACCACCCTTCACCATCTCCTGTCACCATCCCTTAACCATCTCCTGTCACCATCCCTTCACCATCTCCTGTCGCTGTCCCTTCACCATCTCCTGTCACTGTCCCTTCACCATCTCCCGTCACCATCCCTTCACCATCTCCCATCACCATCCCTTCACCATCTCCCGTCTCCATCCCTTCACCCTCTCCTGTCACCATCCCTTCACCATCTCCTGTCACCATCCCTTCACCATCTCCTGTCTCCCTTCACCATCTCCTGTCACCATCCCTTTACCATCTCCTGTCTCCATCCCTTCACCATCTCCTGTCACCATCCCTTCACCATCTCCTGTCTTCATCCCTTCACCATCTCTTGTCACCATCCCTTTACCATCTCCTGTCTCCATACCTTCACCATCTCCTGTCTCCATCCCTTCACCATCTCCTGTCACCATCCCTTTACCATCTCCTGTCTCCATCCCTTCACCATCTCCTGTTTCCCTTCACCATCTCCTGTCACCATCCCTTCACCATCTCCTGTCACCATCCCTTCACCATCTCCTGTCACCATCCCTTCACCATCTCCTGTCACCATCCCTTCACCATCTCCTGTCTCCATCCCTTCACCATCTCCTGTCACCATCCCTTCACCATCTCCTGTCTCCATCCCTTCACCATTTCCTGTCACCATCCCTTCACCATCTCCTGTCGCTATCCCTTCACCATCTCCTGTCACCATCCCTTCACCATCTCCTGTGTCCATCCCTTCACCATCTCCTGTCTCCATCCCTTCACCATCTCCTGTCTCCATCCCTTCACCATCTCCCGTCACCATCCCTTCACCATCTCCCGTCACCATGCCTTCACCATCTCCCGTCTCCATCCCTTCACCCTCTCCCGTCACCATCCCTTCACCATCTCCTGTCTCCCTTCACCATCTCCTGTCTCCCTTCACCATCTCCTGTCACCATCCCTTTACCATCTCCTGTCTCCATCCCTTCACCATCTCCTGTCACCATCCCTTCACCATCTCCTGTCTTCATCCCTTCACCATCTCTTGTCACCATCCCTTCACCATCTCCTGTCACCATGCCTTCACCATCTCCCGTCTCCATCCCTTCACCCTCTCCCGTCACCATCCCTTCACCATCTCCTGTCACCATCCCTTCACCATCTCCTGTCTCCCTTCACCATCTCCTGTCACCATCCCTTTACCATCTCCTGTCACCATCCCTTTACCATCTCCTGTCTCCATCCCTTCACCATCTCCTGTCACCATCCCTTCACCATCTCCTGTCTCCATCCCTTCACCATCTCCTGTCACCATCCCTTTACCATCTCCTGTCACCATCCCTTCACCATCTCCTGTCACCATCCCTTCACCATTTCCTGTCACCATCCCTTCACCATTTCCTGTCACCATCCCTTCACCATCTCCTGTCACCATCCCTTCACCATCTCCTGTCACCATCCCTTCACCATCTCCTGTCACCATCCCTTCACCATTTCCTGTCACCATCCCTTCACCATCTCCTGTCACCATCCCTTCACCATTTCCTGTCACCATTTCCTGTCACCATCTCTTCACCATCTCCTGTCACCATCCCTTCACCATCTCCTGTCACCATCCCTTCACCATCTCCTGTCTCCATCCCTTCACCATCTCCTGTCTCCATCCCTTCACCATCTCCTGTCACCATCCCTTCACCATCTCCTGTCACCAACCCTTCACCATTTCCTGTCACCATCCCTTCACCATCTCCTGTCACCATCCCTTTATTTTTTATGAAATCCGAGAGGTTTCTGAACCAGCCTTAGACAGCAACGTCATTGCATCTTTCAAGGCCCAGAAAGGTAGTAAATATATTTTTTAAATAGTCCTTGTGACTACAGTGGTTCAACCTTAATGTTATAAAGTGACGAGAATAAACTGACGTAGAACCCAGAAGCACTGCACTGTGTTTAAAAATATAAGAAATGTACAGAATGGAGGTTAAAATGTCACACCACTGAACATGTCAACTTCCTAAAGTATTTCATGTAAACTACACAGATATTTATCGTATACACGACCGTTCAAAAGTTTGGGGTCAGTAAGAATTGTACAATTATTAAACAAGGATGCGTTAAATTGATCAAAATGAACAGTAAAGACATTTAAAATGTTAAAAAATATTTCTATTGCAAATGATGCTAAAAAGTACATTACATAATACATTTTTAATTGTAATAATATTTTACATTATTACTGTTTTCCCTGCATTTTCGATCAAATAAATGCAGCCCTGGTGAGCATAAGAGGCTTTTGAACAGTAATATATTTTTATTATATATATCACAGAGATTTTTCATTACCGTTTATGCCTCCATTTTATACTTGGCTTCATAATAATATCATATTATTGTTTATGTATCATGTTTGGAAGCTTTTTGTTAAAGATGTTCAACTGATCTAAATGTACTGTCTCTATTTTTAGGAGAATATATAAAGACATGGAGACCAAGATACTTTTTACTCAAGAGTGACGGAACTTTTATTGGGTACAAAGAGCGACCGCAAGATATTGACCAGCTGGAAACTCCACTCAATAACTTCTCAGTGGCACGTAGGTATCCATTTTGTTTTAACAGTTTACCGGGGAGAATTTACAGGTGAACAAGAATCTCTCTCTCTCTTTGCCTTTTTTGGTTTGTATCTGGCCCCTTTTGCATCCTTCCCTAACCCCACTTAAAGGGGTCATATAATGCCATTTTTGTACAAGCTAATATGATTCTTTAGGGTCTAAATTAAAAGTTTGTAATATACTTTAATTAAAAATTCTCATTAGTATTGTAAGAAAACACTTATTTTACCTGGTCAAAAACAGCTCTGTTTTCAGCACGCCGTTTCAGTGCATATGACTTTAAATGATAATGGGCTTTGCTCACCCTGCCTCTCTGTTCTGTGCGTACACCATTTGTAACACAATAACCATAACGCGTTATTCAGTATAAACGTGGGATTATGAATTATATTGAGAACGTCATACATAGAAAACATGCCGTAATGTACCCTGAGTGTAAACCTTAGACGCATTCATTGTGAAGCGTGCAGCTAGCGATTTGCAAAAATTAATATATTAATATAAAGTTTAATAAAACGTTACACTCACTTCAGTTGTTCTAGAGGTTCAGCAGGAACACGAATATCTGGTACCGATCCTTTTTTCATGAGCAGCTTCTTAGCAAATCCAGCTTTATACTGATCCTCGTTTATAAAGCAGTCTGGTGTGTGAAATGATTCGCGCAAACATGAGAGCATTGACGTTGATTGTGGGGAATATTCCCTTCGAAAACAAACTCAGCCACTGCGTCTTCAGCGGTTCGGATTTAGGAACATTAAAATGACTGCTGTGTTCGTTATTACACCCAAGAACAGAACACCACAATCGCTTAGACGCCATTCTCCAGCATATCAACAATGACTGCGCCGGTCCGTGCAGACTATGATTGACAGCTCCCTCACGAGCGAGGGCGGGTCTGTGTTGAAACGCTCCTGTCAATCAACAATCGTGGGAGGGGCTTCCGACCGTGTGACGTCACACGGTCGAACGGCTTGATTTGAGGCAGGGGAAGACATATAAGGAGATTAAAACAAAAACACTGGATGGATTTTTATCATTTTATGATGGTTGTGTACAGGCACTGCCAACACACATTTCAGTACAATCAACTTGTAAAAGTGCATGTACCATTATATGACCCCTTTAAGAACCCCAAAATGACCAAAATGCACACACTCTTTCTCTCTCTCTCAGAATGTCAGCTGATGAAGACGGAGCGACCAAAGACAAACACCTTTATTATTCGGTGCCTGCAGTGGACTACTGTTATTGAACGCACTTTTCATGTTGATACTCCAGAAGAAAGGTTGGTTGCAGTACCAGTATGCTGTACAGTTCATTTACCGTATAAACTCTTTTGCTTAAATTCATGATAGCACTCCTCAAGTTCCCTAAAGTACATTTTTTAATCTCTCATTGCACAAAAGAAAGGAGTAAAAGAAAAGTTACCCTGTGTGATTGTCTTGTTTTCTGCAGGGAGGAGTGGACGAAGGCCATCCAGGCGGTGGCAGATAGTCTACAGAAGCAGGAGGAAGAGAGGATGGACTCTTCACCTGATCCCATGGACATGGAGATGTACCTGTCCAAACCTCGACTCAAAGTGGTAGGATTACAGCCGAAATGTTAGGCCTTACTATCATTATTGATCCTTTCAACTATTTCTATAAAATGTTTCAGATTAAAATACTTTCTCCTATCATTTTCTTATGGAAAATAATTAATCTTATAAGTAAACACTATAAGAAAATGAAAAAGGAATCAAATATTGAAAATAAATCAGTGTAAAATAAATGTTTCTTTTTTTAAATCTAAGATTTGATTTTTAAAATGATGAATCAGAAATTTTTTTAAAACTGTATTTCTCAAAGACTTTTCTTTATGTTGTGCAGACAATGCATGACTTTGAATACCTCAAACTCTTGGGGAAAGGCACTTTTGGGAAGGTCATACTGGTGAAGGAGAAAGCCACGGGCAAATACTACGCCATGAAAATTCTCAAGAAGGATGTGATAGTAGCAAAAGTACGTCCTTCGCTTTTATTTTTACTTTTTCTTTCTGTAAATTTAAACATTGCATTGTGTGTTCACCTGTACAATGCCCACCCCCCCCCCCCCCCCCCCCCTTGACAAATTCTAATTATACATAAATTGTAATTACTGTAAATAAGAAGTTCTAACAAGTTATTTTCTTTACTTATTTATTTGTAGGATGAGGTTGCACACACACTTACTGAAAACCGGGTCCTCCAGAACTCCAAACACCCTTTCTTAACGGTAAGCTGATATTATCAAAGTAAAAACATTTTACACATAGTTTATACACTAGTAAATGTCATTTACGGTACATTCCGTACAATCAATAAAAGCTCTATCGACAGGACATTTTGGCATTAGGTTTTTTTTTTTTTTTTTTTTATACCACAGAACGTAATTTTTTAACTCTTCAAAATTTGTGGTTGCACTTATTAAAGAAATAAACTGAGCCAGAGTTCCAGGTTTAAAATCAGAAAACGCTCAAATCTTTTGGCTATACATTTAAAACTGTGTAGACTGCCTGGCATCCGATACGCAAGATACCATGCCAGTTTTATTGTAAGAGTTTTCGTCATTTATGAAGGATATTCAAATTTTACCCAACTTTTAATGGAAACATAGCTACTGAAAATGAATATCATATTGCTTTGAACATTCCTTCAAGGCCTGCAGATTATAAAAACAGAAAAAATTATACACCGTTCAAATAGTACACTCAATAAAATTGTGGCAACAGATTACAATCAATATTATTAATTAAATTCAACAAATAAGAATTGAGTTAGAATTAATCAAAATAATTCCTTAAAAGTCAACCATTTAAAATGAATAACTGCAAATTGCACACAAAACATTAAGTAAAATTTAAACAAAAGACGTCAAAGATGAATTAACTCTTTATTTTTTAATTGCCAACATTGAAGACACCAGATGATAACGAGCAGAATCAATGAAGGAAAGAGAAACACAAGAACTACAACTGACTTCCAGCCACAGCCATGAAATCAACTGAAAATACATTAAATCTCTCTTATTACAAACCAGACTAACTTTATTTCTGCCAATCATCGAAAGAAGTTCTTATTGAGAATTAACAGCGGTTTAGATGTTGATGTTTTATTGAAAATGTTTGGTCACCATTGTTTTCAGTGTTTCCTTTAGTTGGGCAGTTTGACTCTTGACTTTTTTGTTTGAGTTTCTGGTCTTTGTAACAGTATTTACCAAAACACATAATTTGTTGCAAAGGACACCATGAAATGAGATGACCAGGTGATATAGTTTTCAGCATCATAAAGTAGAATAATTCACTAATCTTATCACTGACCAAAAGTAACAATTTGATATTGATAGATTTTCACCAATATTATTTTGTTGGGACAAATCAGACAATCTGATTTTTTATTTGATTTGATTAACACTGCAGCAAAAATAAATATACTTTGTTTTTTTTAGACACAGACATACAGAAGCAGCATATGAATCTCAACAATTCTTCATGCCGCATTTCATGCTGGGAGTCATGAGTTTTATATTATAATGGCTCCCAGGATGCATTGCGGCATTGAAGCATGTCACCATTGGTGAGAATCATTTGCTGATTCTGTATTTATGTGTATTTAAAAATAATAATAATTATTTAAATATAAAATTTCTAAATGTCTGATCTGTGCCAACAAAATATTGTTATCAAATAACTACTTTTGATCATTTATGATATTTTTCTTTAAGAAGATTAAACCTTTGCAACAAATTATGTGCTTTAGCAAAATGATGCTCCTAATGTCACCTCTGTGTTGCAGGGTCTGAAGTATTCTTTCCAGACTCATGACCGATTATGTTTTGTTATGGAGTATGCAAATGGAGGAGAGGTGAGCTCTTGTAAAGGTGAAGTTTAGCAATGACTGTTCATTAAAACTAACCAAATAAACTTTTTATTTTAATTTCATTTAACAATCAAATGTTTATTCAAATAATGTGTGTATTAATAATAATAAATTTTACCCCAGAAGTTCCCCAATTTAAATGCATCTTTATATTTGTTATATCACAGCTTTTCTTTCATTTATCGCGAGATCGTGTTTTTTCGGAAGAGAGAGCGAAGTTTTATGGGGCCGAGATCGTCTCAGCCCTGGATTACCTTCATTCCGAAAGAAACGTGGTTTATAGAGACCTAAAGGTGAGATAGGTAGAAAAATTTAGTTGAAAAATATAAAAAATACAAATTTCATACAAGATGAATGATAAATGTTTGAAATAACTTGTCAGAAAGTGTTTTTAATGTAATGCTACTTGTCACTATCACTACCTATCTCAGTGTCAAATTATAAGTAATATAATTATTCTGTGGTAGTTGGAGAACCTGATGCTGGATAAAGATGGCCATATAAAGATCACAGATTTTGGCCTGTGTAAGGAAGGAATTACAGACGGAGCAACAATGAAGACATTCTGTGGTACACCAGAGTATCTCGCTCCAGAGGTAATAAAACATTAATAAAATACATTATTCTAATAATAAATGAACGGCGAACAGAGAAGGAAATCCAGGGTGGATTATCCTCAGGATTGCGAGTTTATGTCCTGCAATCTTGACTTTTGTCTCTCAGAATTGTGATATAAACTCGCAATTATGAGTAAGAAAATCTGAATTGGGAGAAATAAACCCTAAATTGCAAAATTACAAATATTTTAGATTTAAATGTTACCTATGTAAAATGATATAGATATAAATATTATTTCATGCTGTGACTGTAGGACTAATCATTATGTCCCCTATGAACAGCATGTGTGAGTAAATATCATGTAGATCTATTGTTTACATCAAATTCATGCTTTAAAAGTAGACTAATCATCAGAGGTTTCATCAGTCCAGTCTGTCCATTTAATTGCGTGCAACCATAAAGGGCGTCTTCGACCACAGTATTCCATAAAAATGAAGACCATCTTTTTTTGCATCCCGATTCTGACATCCAACTGCACAATACTTTTTTTTTTTTCATTTTATTCCGTGGATCCCACCCGTTTTCCTCCACTTGTTACCACTGTTTTTCTTGCCACCACAATGTGGGCGCAGCTGCAAGAGACGTAACTGTGACGTCTGCTCCCAAACTGTCTATTTTCTGGCTTGTAAGTCTGCTTCCAGGAGTTCTGAGGAAAGTGTGGGATGACGGAGTGAGGCTCTCTGGTGGGGCTCTTGATTAGATCAGAGATTACAGAGACCATTTTGCATGCAAGAGCCACTTCTAGCAGGAGGCTCTACGCTTCTAAGTTCAGACAATCGTTACATCTGAGGGTGTTCCTATAGCGTCAGCATCTCATTCCCTACTCAGGGATGCAGGGTTACACACTGTAAAAAATGCGCTGTAAAATAACAGTAATCTACTGGCAGCTGTGGTTTCCAGCAATGTACTGTTAATTTACAGCCCTTTACAGTTAATTTACTGCTCTCCTTTTTTTACAGTATGTAACCGTAAAAATATCACAAAGGTAACTCATATCATTTGGGAAACCGATTACTTCAAACAGTTCAAGTTCAAAAACTACTCGGTTACTATCGTAACCTCAGTTCCCTGAGATAGGGAACGAGTATTGCGTAGCTATACGCAGTGGGGAAACTCCCTTTCCTCGATTTACTGAAGCCTATATGTAAAACGCATTTGCAGCTGCACAGCCAGCCCCCTGAGCGTCTGACCCGCTCAAAGGCTGTGCAGCAGCAACTGCACATCCAATGGCGCGGGCGAATCTGACGCACAACCAATAAGCTAGCCCAACGTCAGAGCCCGTCGAGGGGGCGTGCCCCGCCTATATAGACCCCCGAATTCGCCATTATAGCAGGTTTATACGACTGAAGCGACAACTTCACCAGTTACCATAGTGCGGCCGGCTACGCAATACTCGTTCCCTATCTCAGGGAACTGAGGTTACGATAGTAACCGAGTTGTTCCCTTTCGAACGGTCACTTCTTATTGCGTAGCTATACGCAGTGGGGACACCATGCAAAACGCCGCACCCTGAGTAACTGGTTGTCCTGCCACTCAGGACCTCTGAGCTAACAGAACAAGCCAGAACCCAATAACATATGCATATACATGTATATATAACAGACCAGACACAGTCGGGTCTGAATAATATACATAATAAAGTCAGTCACCACTAACAGAATATACTAACAAAACCAGACCCCGTCGGGATTATTAGTATAACTTTATTACCGGCCGAAGCGGGTTTATATAATATGTATGTGATTATGCACAGTAATTTTTGTAGACAAGACCAGCCACTGTCAGGTCTCAATCATACCGAAAGCACCTTCGCCTGCAGGGAAGGTACCTCCATATTATAGAACTTCATAAATGTGGAAGGCGAGGACCAGCCGGCCGCATCACAAATATCTTGAATGGGAAAACCAGAAGACCAAGCCCACGACGAGGCCATACCTCTGGTCGAATGGGCCTTGACACCTATGGGGCAAACCTGACCCACTGCGGTGTAAGCCAAAGAGATGGCATCCACTATCCATCTAGACAGTCTTTGCTTAGTGACTGGATCACCCTTAGATCGGCCCCCAAAGCAGACAAACAGCTGTTCTGATTGTCTAAAAGACGCAGAACGCTCCAAATAGATTCTCCACGCCCTGACAGGGCAGAGAAGATTAACCTCCCCATCCTCAGCAGAAGGGGGAAGGGCTAATAGCGTAATAACTTGTGCTCTAAACGGCGTTGAGAGCACCTTGGGCACATAACCATGCCTGGGTTTGAGAATGACTCTGGAGTCCTCCAATCCAAACTTCAAACATGCAGGACTCACTGAGAGGGCCTGCAGATCTCCCACTCGCTTGATAGATGCCAATGCCAACAGGAGAGCAGTCTTTAGCGAAAGTGGTTTTAGATCAACCGACTGGAGCGGCTCAAAAGATGGTCCCCTCAGGGCCCTAAGGACCGTGGAGAGGTCCCAAGGCGGCACCGAAGGGGGCCTGGAGGGGTTAATCCTCCTAGCACCCTTCAGAAACTTTACCACCAGGTCATTCCTTCCCAGTGATTGGCCAGCCACCAGAGCATGGTGCGCTGCGATGGCTGCCACATACACTTTGAGCGTGGACGGGGTGCGGCCCGCGTCCAGTAGCTCCTGCAGGAAGGCGAGCACCACTGAAACCTCACATGACTCTGGGTCAATACGATTTCTCGAGCACCAGCTGGAAAAACCCGACCACTTTAAAGCATAAAGGCGCCGAGTAGACGGGGCCCTTGCTTCAGAGATAGTGCTTAAGACCCTGTCAGGCAGGTCCCCGGATACCCGTTTAGGGGCCACACATGGAGGGCCCATAAATCGGGTCGGGGATGCCACATCGTTCCGTTGGCCTGTGTGAGGAGATCCTTCCTCATCGGAACAGGCCAGGGGGTCGTGTCCGACAACTGAACCAGTTCCGGAAACCATGGTCTGGATTTCCAGAGAGGAGCCACCAGAAGGACTGGGCATCCGCTCTCCCTGACCCGCTCGATAACCTGTGGGATCATCGAGACGGGGGGAAACGCGTAAAGGGGGCGGCTGGGCCAGAGATGAGCCAGCGCATCCCTGTTTTTCGAGAAGAACACCCTGCAGTGGGTGTTGGCTCTCGAGGCGAAAAGGTCTACTTCGGCCTCGCCGAACCTCTCCCATATTAGTCTGACCGTCTGAGGGTTCAGGGACCACTCGCCTAGGGGAGTGTTGCCCCTTGAGAGCATATCCGCGCCCACATTCTGGACGCCCGGGACATGCGCTGCTCTCAGAGAGCTCAGATTGGCTTGTGCCCACATGAGGAGGTCCCTCGCCATCACATACAGGTTGCCTGACCTGATGCCACCCTGGCGATTTATGTAGGCCACCACAGACATGTTGTCTGTACGGATCAAGACGTGGTGACCCCTGAGGTTTGACAGAAAAGCTTTCAGGGCCAAACCAACCGCTTTCATTTCCAGACAGTTGATATGTAAGCTCTGCTCCGTGCTCGACCAGAGGCCGGAGGCAGGCTTGCCCTCGTGCAGCACTCCCCAACCCATGTTGGATGCGTCTGTAAAAACCACTTTCCTCCTGGAAACTATCCCCATGGTCACCCCCTTGCAGTACCAGTCCTGAGCCCGCCAGGGAACCAGTGTTCTCAAACACCCTTGATTCACCATAATGCGCAGGCTGCCTGACTGCCATGCATGGGTTGGCACACGGCGTTTCAGCCAGTGCTGCAGCGGGCGCATGTGCAGTAATCCCATGTGGAGTACTGATGATGCAGCTGCCATTAGACCAAGCAGTCTCTGAAACCTCTTCAGAGGCGCGCGCCCTGAATGCAGCTACCAGTGTCTGCACCGAGTGCGCGCTCTTGAGTGAGCCCCGCTTTCATTGTCACCGAGTCCAAAACCGTGCCCAGAAAGACCACAGTCTGGCTGGGATTCAGTTCGCTTTTGGCAACATTGATTGTGAGACCCAAGCATTTTAGATGGCTGAGAATCAAATCCCTGTGCACTATTAGTTCGTCTCTCGACTGCGCTAGCACCAGCCAGTCGTCGAGATAATTCAGCACACGCACTCCCTGGCTTTTCAGCGGGGAGAGCGCCTCATCCATACATTTCGTGAATGTACGGGGTGCCAGAGCCAGACCGAACGGCAGAACGGTGTATTGATATGCCCTCCCCTCGAAGGCGAATCTCAAAAATGGCCTGTGACGAGGGTCGATCTGAATATGAAAGTATGCATCTTTCAGATCCATTGAAACAAACCAGTCCCCCAGGCGAACCTGCGCGAGAATCTGTTTGAGTGTTAACATTTTGAAAGGCCGTCTCATGAGAGCCCTGTTCAAACGCCTCAGATCTAGAATGGGTCTGAGCCCGCCGTCTTTCTTTGGAATTAGGAAATAGCGGCTGTAAAACCCCGAATACATTAGTGCGGGAGGGACTGACTCTATCGCTCCTTTTGCTAATAACTCTTGAACTTCGGTGCGAAGCACGTGATTCACGCCGCTTGTTACCGATGTCTCGATAACCGCCTGGAATTTCGGGGGTCTGCGAGCGAATTGGAGCGAGTAGCCTCGCTTTATAGTGTTTATGACCCAACTCGACACACCAGGGATGGCTTGCCAGGCCATCACTCGTGTGGCTAGGGCGTGACACACTGAATGGGGGGGACCGCCTAACATAGGGGGACCTGATACCCTTATAATGTGATTTGTGATACACACATACTGAGTGTTTGACTGACTATATAGGCTTTTGCCTGGGGGGAAGTCAGTGTTACAACAGGGCGGGGGCCGCCTAGTGGAGGGGGACCGTGAACCCGTGTGTTGTGATTGTGAAACATGCTCTTTTTGTGCTTTATTTGGGTCGCAGTGAAAACGGCGTTTGTTTGCAGAGACGCGCTCACTGCTGCGGGCCTGTTTACAATAATAAAATCCCCAGCCGCCTGAACTGAACAGGGAGCTGTGGGAAGTTTTGCTGGTTTCTTCGAGGGTGGTCC